CTTTTTTTTTTTTTTTAAATCAAATATGTAAAATCCTGGCCTTATTTACACATTTTGGGCTTGGCTTGCAGATTCTGTTTCTGGAAGAATCTCCTTTCCCTCTTGTCGTCTTTGTGTTTCCCCTTTCCTTACAGTAAAGATTGTCTGTTTTTAACAAATGGCTTCCTTTGCAAAGAGACAGAATATATCAACCTTAGTATTATGAATTCACCAAAAGATAGGCATATACATTTTAGCATGAACATCCAATAAAAATAAATACATCTGCACTGAACATGGTAAATTATATGTGAACTTACACTATAATAATAAACAGGAAACAGCAGCATCTGAATCTGCAACTGGCTTCTCAGGAGGCTCTGTGCTTCCAGCTGTGGTAGCAGCTGTGGCTCTGGCTCTGGAACTCTTGCTGAAACAAGCTGACAAAGGGCTGATTAAAACATGGAGTTCAGTTTCTGCTTGGATTCATTTTCCTTTTAACACGCTTTGGTTATGAAAAGTTTGCTCATTTACCCCGTTTGTGGTTTTATATCCTGCACTTCACAGTCACTGGGCTGATGTGATTATCACCATTCCGAGTGACCTTGATCATGGGGACCTTATACTGTCTCTGCCATTTGTGGAACATTGCAATTTGGTTTTGGCTTACTGGAAGAAATTGAAAACTCTTTTCCTCTTCCTTCTCCCTCCCCATCCCCAGAGGCTGTTCAGTATTTTTGTCCAAAATATTACACAGTAAAGTTGTTGGGGTTTATTTTTGTAATTGTTTTTATATGCATATAAACAATTTAGGAGAAGACCAAATGATACTTACCTGCAGTGACGTGTAACACAGGCAAGAGACTGGGTAAACTCTGCCAGGTGAAGCAAGTAGAGAACTTTTTAAAATAATTTTTTATTCAAAATTCTGATTTCACAGAACCCGAGTGAGCAAAACAGCATTTACCCATGGGCAGATGTATAGATATGGTGACTTATTGCAGGTCCTTCTTTCCACCTCTGGTTGCATGGGCTCTTTTCTTGATTGCATGCTAAAGCTATAGCTAAGCTACTAGAATGTCTGGCCTCAATTCAGCAAAGATTTAAACCCATACTTAGAATTAAACACTTCCATTGCAGAGTCTGCTTTGTGAACTCCCAGATATTTGCTTCTGCTCTCATACTGTGGAGTGTCTCTGGTGAATATCCTGAGACTAAGACAGTCTTTTTCATTACAAAGTCTTTTTTTTTTTTTTCTTTCAGTCCTGCCATCTTTTTAGAAAGCAGCTGTGTTCTCCAACTAATTGATTCCCTAAATTAAATCCCAGTTGCCTCTCTTAACTCATTGCTCAAACTCTTCCCTCTTTTCCCCTCTGCTGCTTTCCTTCACATAGGATCTTGCTTTTTCTCCTAAGGAAAAATAGATACAATGTGCTCTTCCTTCTGTCCCTCTCTTCTCCCTCCCTTCCCGTGATCCTTTCTCCTTCTCCTCCACTGTCAGAGCAGCAGGAGTTTCTTGTCTATTTTCCATCTGTACCCCTTCCACTTGCCCTAGTGACCCCATGTTCTGTTCTTCTTCTTATTTCTCCACTCCCTTATTCTCTTTCTTAACCTCTCGCTGTCCCCTGGCTCTTTTCCACTGCAATATAAGTAAGCATTTGCCTCTTAAAAATTGCACCTTTGACCCTACTTGGTTCTTCATATCATATCTCACAGCCTATCTCTTCTTCATTCCTAAGCTCATTGAAGGCGCTGTTTATAATTACTGTCTGGAGACCCTCTGCTATGATTCCCTCCTATAACTCCTACACTTTGGCTTCTGTTCCTTGCCTGCAACTGCAACAGCTCTCACCAAATTCCCTGATGACGAGATCTCAGAAACAGTAGTCTGTCCTCATTCTTCTTGACTTGTCGGTAGTGTTTGCTGCAGTTGACCAGACTCTTCTTTAAACTTATGTCTTTTGTTGCTTTCTGTGGCTCTGTCTTGCTAATTTTCTTCTTTCTAAGCAATTCTTCAGCATGTTCTTCAGAGTTGTCTCCCATTTTTTTTGGGGGGGGGGGGTGAAGGTCTTGAGGCTCTGCTTTAGCTGGATTTTCTTGTACTTTTTATGCCGCCTTATGGGGTATTTCATATACAGAAAAGAAAATGTAACAGCAAGCATATCTGTTGATAACAGAACTACCTTCCTATTGAAACCTATTTCCTCTCACCTAAGCTTATTAATTTGAAATCACACAAGTTCAATTACAAAGCATCCCACCTGGTGCTGCCTTAACATGTCTTGGCAAATGCTCAGACCAGACACCCGATTATCTTCCCTCTTTCACGTAGATATGCATATTTTCTCCTTTCATATGCTAGACTCTCTGCACCCCTGCTAGCTGTACTCGGCCGTTGCCTGCAGCTGTTCCAGCTTATATTACGTTTTCTACAAATGACTCAAATTGTATCTCTTATTTCCAATAAGAATATAGCAAGACGTTGTCAAATGCAATTAATATTTTACATCCTCTATTACAAATGCTTATCCTGATGTATGTTTGGAGTGCATTTTACTCTTCTACAGCCTCATTTTAAGCATTTCACTCTTTCTCATTGCCATTGGCTTTTCTCCGTGGAATCCCAGTGCTTTTTTTTTTTTTATTGACAGTACCAAGAAATTTAATGTTATCACCACATCTCTACTTTTTATGCCAATTAATTGAATTAAAATCTTAGATAAAATTCTGCCAAGCTCCTGCTTGATGAACTCTACTGAAAAAGAGTTCTTTCATTCTCCACAGGACTTTGTTCTCTCTCTGGTAGGAAGTTCTTTACCTGTCAAATTCTTTCAGTAATCCCTGTTTTCTCCAGTTTAATACTGAATGTCAGATGTCCAGATGGATTATATCTGTCATATTTTCCTTGTTTAAAATGTCAGTCTAGTCACAATGGTGTAAGCATGCAGAGAGTTCATAATCTCAACCAGATTTGTATGTTGTAGTAGGCAGATTCCTCAGGTCACCACATAGTTTCATACCCCAGCAGGCCCAGCTGAATTATGTGAGCTCAGGCGAGTTTCTCCTTGCTGGTGTGAACCACAGGGAGTATTCCCTTGTTCTCTAGATACCTTTTGGCCTGCTTTTACTTTTGTTTGCCCTACTCCATTCCAGATGTCGTTCATGCCACATTATCACTACCAAATGCACGTCTTCTTGATCTAACATATGTAGCCGTTAGGAACATATAAAGATATATGTAATTAAAGGGAACACGTGCACATACGTACCGTGTGTTTTGCATTAACTTTGTATTTAGTAAAGTTCTTGCTCACTTCATAATAAGTGCTGTGGCTGATGTTGCAAAATAATTTCAGTAAAAGTCTGTCTATTCACTAGCTCTAGGCACTGTAGTATTATGTAAAAAGCAGTCCTTTGGGTCTGAAATTTTTCATGCTTGTTTTCATTTGAAAAACTGTGTATGCATTTAAAAAAATAAGGAAATTATCCTGAATTGGTTTTGAGTTATGTGTCACTGAAAAAGCAGTGTTTAACTGTTAACAGTAGCTACTTTTTTTGTCTTTAAAGTAGATAAGGATATTTAGAATTTTGAAAATTAAACAGCGACATCTAAATTGGGGGTGATATTTAATGAAGTCTATGGCCATGTTTCAAAAACCTGGTTTTCATAATGACATAAAGATAATTGAAATCATGCCTAGTAGGCATCTGGACTAAAATTATGAGCAGGATGTAATGGACCCAACCACTTTTGTGGAAACAAAATTCATTTCCATTTCTTTGTCAGAGCTAATCAAGTTCTTTTTAGGTTCAAGATTTGCTTTGTCCTTACTGCTGCTTCCGGTGTGCCAACACCATACCTTCATATAAGGGATGGTATATGTTCTACGCATTAAAATCTTGACTTTTTTTCAGAATTTGTTTTTGCCTACTCGTCCTAATTTCACATTCTATCAATCAGTTGCTCCTTCAACAGCAAAGAAACAATACATCATTTACCTTGTGGACTTTGCGTAAAAACTGGAATCTGTTAAATCCTGTTTGCATTATACAGTGTATAATTTTACATTATATCCTTCAGTGCGGAGGGAAAGGGAATGATGGGAGTTCGATGAAGGCTCTTGTTCTTCTATTAAGCAGTTGAACAACCTCCCATTGGGACTGGGGCTTTGCCTGCCTCTGAACCTCTTGTAAATCCCTCTACAGCCACACTTATTTTGATTTTGAGTGGCTGTTTCTGGTTAGTTTAATCCTATTCCTAATAAATTTAAGATAAATAATTAGAAGTTTAATAGGAATTTCATGGCTTTTAATTGTCATTAAAAAAAAAAGGAAATTCAAATCAAATTCTATGCTAACACAACATTAAGACTGAATAATGGAGGCTTGGTTGGGATTTTCAATTTTTGTGCTTTGTGGAGCGGATAGCTGTGTAGACCCAGTCTGTCTTCTCCATTTCTTGTCCCAAGGCATACATAAACTACAGCTTGCAATTCTTCTGGGGCACTGGGACAAAAATGCCAGTACAGAGATAGAGGGTGAAAGCTACCTCATTCACCACGATTATAAATACTTATGAGATGGTGGGATTTTTATTAGTTGCTTGTGTCCATGTGTTGCTCTCTATGTAGCTGGTAAAAGGAAGAAAATTATATCTTCCTCTGAATACCTTGTGTGGGCCAGGCAAGGCAAAACTTGAGCTGGCTCTTAAAACTTCAGAAGGAAATACCAAGAAATGCTGAAGTCTCCTGCAGCAGCATTAGCTTGTCTGCATTGCCAGTCATTTGAAACTTATATATTGAGCATAAATAAAGCCATAAATCTCTGTTCTGTGATTTAAGAAAAAAATAAACCTGATATTTCATTTGATGTAATTTTAACTTTTCAGTCAAATATTTATTCTACATTGACTTGGCTTAAATATTCAGAATTATATTTAACCTTTAAAAAAATGTAATATGGATGGATCCAGATAAACGTATATAAACCAGAAGTATCTTTGTGTGTTCTTTTTATTGTAGGTATGTGTCGTGTGCATTGGGATGCCCATATGAAGGAAACATCATACCAGCTAAAGTGGCAGAAGTAAGAGTGAACTTCTGGCTTGTCTTTTTAATGACTCAAAAATACATTTTGAAATGTCTATAAATAATGTTCTCTACTTAATCCTAAAAAGATCTTTAATGGATAAAATTTAAGGAGAACAAACACAAAACATAGCTAATACTGAAACTGGATGCATAACCTCACTCAACCATATGCAGTCAAATCTTAGAAAAATAGTATGTTTTGATTGTTATTAGTCATCCTCATGCGACTGATCATCAAATATTATGTGCTATTTCCTCCAACAAGAAGCGAAGGAAATGCTTAAGGAAATAGGCTCAAGCATGTGTGTCAGTGGATCAGGTTGTATGAGGTGATTTCCAGCACAAACTCCATTTTATGCTGACATAAGCATACTGTGCTCCCAGCTGGTAGAGCCACTGCTACAAAATTGTGCTTCTGGTGGCTGTCGTGTGATTGACACTTGATCCAGAATTCATCCCCAACATGATTTCCTGCTACTGAACTAGCTCTGCTGCTATGGGGGAATAAGCTGTACCTTCCCTCCGCGGCCCCTTTTCCCGTTTAGGATAAAGGAGAAGAAAGATGATGTCTTAGCCCAGCCTTTTTTTCCAGCACAGAAAGAGATGGGTGAAACACAAATGTGAAATTTTGCAGGAAGGAAAAGAGGGCATGAAAGCTGAAATGGACAGTAGAGAAGAAAGTGGAGAGAACTGAAGAGGCACAAGGCAGAACATGCTGGCCTTCCTGCTGCAGAAAGATTGGTCTTCTCTGTTACACTTAATCACCGGGCATGAAAGCTGAAATGGACAGTAGAGAAGAAAGTGGAGAGAACTGAAGAGGCACAAGGCAGAACATGCTGGCCTTCCTGCTGCAGAAAGATTGGTCTTTGTTACATTTAATCACCTGCTTTTGGTGGTCTAGCAGAATCTCCAGACCATTTTTTTTTTCTTTGTAGCACTAGCAGCTAGTCAACATTTGTCTGATATATTTTGTGTTCTGCGTGTGTGGCTTTCAGGTCCTGTTCTCCTGCATCTTCTCCTAGTATACATTCCAGATGGATCTTGTGATAATACTTCTCCCACAGCAGCCACATATACTCACACTCTTTGAAAAAAAATAGCTAAATTGGAAGGTACTCAGTATTTCTAAATTAATTTGGTTTAATATGAAGTGAAAGTTAGAAGTGACACAGCTTTAGTTAGAGTGGTGATGACAGATTCAGCTGCGCTGTTGGTAAATTGCTTACTGAAATATCATGTTCCCCAACAGGCTTTTTTACATGTGTTGCTTTTTTTTTAAAACTAACTACTCTCCGTGTACAGAAGAGCAGTTTGCCAGTGGGAGTGCTATTTAATGTTCCAAACCTGCAAACTTTGACTCACATAGCTATTTTATTTTGTCTTCATCATAGTAAGTGTCCTCTTGTGTACCTGTACACCCTTGTGTATGTGTTTAAGAATCAAAGCTACCTCATTAAAGTTATTGAGGCCCTGATCAGCAAGCACTGACATTTATATGGAAGCATCTTATTAGCTGTTAATGGATTTTACATGCACACATGCACTCATCCTTTGCTGAATCAAAATTACCAAAATTACCGGCATGTTGCTAAACCCTTTCAGAGAGCTGCCTCTCTGGTCATCATCTTTCTCGGGGTGGCAGCATGTGACTCCCTTGACCGCGCGTTGCAATCAGCAGCCATGATTGAAAGGTTTAGACTTTCTTCCACAGCCAAAAACAGCGAACAGATCTTTTATTTTGAGCAAAAGATTTTTTTAACTGAAGCAAAATCAATTAGGAGAGATTGCTCATTAACCAGACTACATGCATTTCTGGTTTACTAGATACGTAACTGGTTTACACATAGTTATCTAGTGAGTGCAAACTTCAGATACCTTAAGACTTCTAGACTCCATCTGGTACATCCATGTGGTTATTTTTAAAAAGCCACCACATTTCTCATCTATTAAAATAAGCTACTTAGTCCTTTTTTTATCACTCTGCTTCTTCTTGAAATGCGGTCACTGTTTAGCCATTTATCATCCTGTGAATTTCAACCTCAGGCAAATCCAGCTTGAAAGTTGTTGGAAGTTGGTATGACACCCTTGAAGCCAGTTGTGTAATCCAATGTCTTCCAGTCATATGCTTGGCTGTTTTTGTCTTTCTTCCTGCTTCTTTCTCTCTGTAGCTTCCTTTTAATGTAGAACAGTGAATTCATTTAAGTATTACCTGGCATACAGGCTGATCAGGCTGCAAAAAATGTACCTATTCTTATTTGATTACTGTTGGATTATTACAAAGTTTCCCTTACAGCATAAGGACTGCAGTGTGGTTTTGTGTTGTTATTTGCTTAAAATAATCTGTAACTCAGTTATGACCTTTTGTATTCAGTTTAAGAGTATAGTTTTAGACATTATTTCCAGCAGCAGGATTGTTCACATGCCTGAGGGGTTGCAGCGTTGGGTCACCAACTTCCATTTTGATCAATGCTTAATGTCAGGTCAGGGCTCGAAGGGGAGTAGCACAAGACTATGCACAGTAAAACTGCTCAGAGGTGCAGAACACAACCCTGTTCAATCAACAAAGTTGCAAGATCGTAATCACATTCTGATTACACTGACAAAACAGTGTGTGCTCTTCTCCCCCGCCCTCCTCCCAAAAATCTACATTGAAAACTTCCAAACTATAACTAATGGACTGCCTCCTACTGTGGTAGGAGAGAAAATCCAATATGAAAAACTCCCGTTCAGCTTCCAAGCATGCACATTCTTCTAGAAATTAAATATAGATCTCTTTTTAAGGGTCAGTTTAAGGTTAGGTCATGACAAGTCTGTGATGATGCTCAGCTTGTTAGCAGAGTTTCTCCCTCTCTTCTTTCATCTTTCAGAACTTTATTTTCAAAGTTGAAATACCTAAAGACTGAGCATGGGAAAGAAGTGAATGCAGTATGATTCCTAGCAGTTTATATAGTCTCTTTGTCTTCACTAAAATGCCATCGAGAAAAGCTCTGAATCACAAATTAAAAAGAACATGAGAAAAAAAATGCAGTCTTTGACTTAAAAGCACAAAGAGTTTTACTACCTTTGCAGCAGTCATAGCACTTGCAAGCTTTAAGGAGAAATATTCAGACTACTCGAAGTTCTTTTTCAGCTGTTCTTTGAATTAAGTGAACAGCAATATTAATCCAGCACTTCCGAGACTGCTGGTGCAGCACTTTGTCAGCTTCCTCGGACATATTCACAGCAATCCCACTGATGAAGTCTTGGAATTGCTTTAACAGAAGAGTGCAGTGCAACTGAAGATGTCTTGGAAAAGCGTCTTATTTTTTCATTTCTAAACAGTTAATTTCCAGACTGGGATTCCATTCCAGTGGAGTGGTGTTTCAGGATCGTTGATACACCGTGGGGAAGGCTAAAGGGTACAAACATACTCAGCAACTGAAAATAAGGTGAAACCTTTTCTAAATAAATTCAACACATCTAAGATAGAAAGTTCCTACATACAATTTCTAAAGCAAGATCTTTGCTGCAAACGTGATTCTGTGCTTCCAAGTGTATGTCTCTCTCCATACACTCGTTATGGGGCCAGACCTCAGATCTCTTACTCATGCAAAGAACTCCTCAAAGAAATAATTCCAGAAACATTTAGGGCTCTACTTACAAAAGTAAGAACTATTTGTATAAGGTTTCATTTGATATTAAGAAAAAATTTAAAACTTAAAGACTAAGATGTTAATTAAGTTCCAGTTTTGCTTTGTTAGTATTTTAATGTTTGGTTTCGTGAAAAGCAAGCAAAATTAATATTTAAATGTTAAAATTTCAGTTTTCATTGGTGTTTTCAGTGCCAAGAGAAAGCAAAATCTGCCTTCTTGTTAATTATTTATTGTCAGTTCAGCCATGTGGTTGGCTCCATGTAATAAGCAAACAAAAGGACAAGTCTTTACCCTGCACAACTTGTAAGCTGGAAAGTATACGGAGAAAACCAAACAGCTGGGAAATCCCCAGAGAGAGGAAAATGTTGGGAAAGGGCTTGACAGAAACTTAATTCATAGTGTAAAATCTTGCTTATTTGGATTCTGTGGGAGAGTCAAAAACCAAGTTTTTGATAGATTTATCTTGGTTGGTTATTCAATGTACAGAAGCAAAACTATAAATTTAAAATAAGAGGATCTATGGGATGTTCTTCTGGAGTGACAATTTTTGAGAATGAATAGAGGATTTCTGATACATAGTTCCACCTCGATGGGTCAAAACCTCAAACCTGTGCAGAAGTGTGTACTTTTTAGTGTATGTTCTTGACTCTATTTTATATTCTTTCATCTTGACCTCTTCATGTTTCTCTGTTTCTAATCAGGTATCTAAGCGTCTGTACAGTATGGGCTGTTATGAAATCTCTCTGGGGGACACAATCGGTGTGGGGACTCCTGGAAGTATGAAGAGAATGTTGGAAGCTGTTATGAAAGAAATTCCTCTGAGTGCTCTTGCTGTTCACTGTCATGACACATATGGCCAGGCATTAGCCAATATCCTCACAGCCATACAGGTAACTCAGGTTCTCATTTTATAGATATAATAATTCAGTCTTAGCTGAATTCAAATGCACAATTTTTAAAATTCCAACCTTAAAGAAATTGCTAGAAAAGGAAAGTGGCACTCACTTAATTTTCAGAAAGTGTTGTTCACACATCAAATTCTCTACAGGTATTACTGCTCTTGCTTTTGCAAGAGAATTTTAATTCTTATCAACTTATTACCTTGAATTCCATACAAAATCACTAAGAAACAGTGGTGATGATTATATTCCATTGCTTTTGGATCACTGAGTGAAATGAAACATCATTTTTTTCTGATGACTCAGATTCCACTTTTCTTTGGAACATCTGTGTGTTCATTGTTCACTAAACTAAAATTTCTGTTTGACAGAGGTGTCTAAGTATAAAATAGAATAATGTATAATTACATCTTGATTTCAGATGGATAAATGTAAATTATTTGTAATGATGTACACAGATCAGTCTACATAATTTTATCACTGTTAACATGCCTTCAGTATCCTTTTATGTTTATCAGTTATAACTTCCAAATAAGATTGGCAACAACTTTATATTCTATTTAATCTTCTTTGAAATCTGTGGATAAATAACCATAAATAGTTAATTTTCATAAGAGATATTTTTTCTCTTTGTGTTTATTTGTTTTTAAGAATAGGACACACTACAAGAAACAGTCTACAAGTTCTAATTAAGCTTTGGTAAAAATATAATCTTGAAAAATATCTTAATGTGTACATGCATTCCTAAGGAGACCTATTTTTACTAATTGTTACAGAATCAAAAGTTGTTTACAAATCATAGGCCTTTATTGTTCTGTTCTATAGTTAATGTCATTTTCTCCTTCCTTGCAATTCAGGCAGCCATTTTAAATGTCAACTTTCATTTGTCCCTACTTGCTATTTAGGCAGAGCTCATATTACGTTGTTTAGAAATAACAGCAGTGTGTTAACAGTATTAGTGATACAAGCAACAAGAAGGAACAGGGAAATGTTTAATATAGGAACCTCTGCAGGTATTTGATTAATTAGTGAATAACAAAATCTGGTAAAAAAGGTTCTAAGTTTTACTCGCAGTGTTCGCTGTTGACCCTTACTCACTTTTACTGTTGTGTGTCTGTGTACCATGGGATAAATAAATTGCTAATTTCACAGTTAGCTTCAGTTGCAGATGTAATAGCTAAAAACATGAAAACCCCTGAGCATGGGAGGAGTTCTCCATAAAAATAATTGAAGCATTGTTTTTCAAATCCTTCCTTGAAATAATTGCTGTCATGGTGCCTACTAAACACTGAATGATGGCTATGCTTTGTTAACCCCAGTATTTGTTGCAAGTGATTCTTCTTTCGGGTTTACTTCCTGCTCTTATCTTTTATTTACTTATTATATCAACTGTGTAAGAGTTAAAGGGGAGAAAAGCTCCTAACATGCAGTTCAGGCTAATTGACATGTAAATTCAAGAGAGCGATAGACCTAAAAAAAAATCTCTTTGCAGCCTCCTCAGATTACTGGGAAACCAGGGGTGCCTTGGACCCACCAGAAAACTTCTCTGTGTGCTCAATTTCTGCTACAGTGCATGTATAAAGGTGTGGTGTGTTTGGCTGAGCTGAACTTGTCATAGATTTTGCCAAAAGTGCTTGATGAAGCAGGCATTACACAGTCTCTGTGACGGGCTTTGTGCAAGCAGCTCCTTGGCTTGCTCTAAAGGCAGATCCCCAGGCTCTGGGATCCTCAAACAGGGCCAGTATGTCACAACGTCCTCTCCTGTCTCTGGTCAAAGAAGCAAGGTAGCTGGCAGTGCATTGTAGCTAAGCAATACAAGGCAAGTTTTACAGCTCAGACGGATGGGGAAGTGACAAAGTCAACTTCTAACCGCTGCTGTGCTTTCCTTGCTGCCAAAGAAACATGAATGGCAAAGTACTGGAGTAAAACCCCTTGTCTTAAGCTCAGCAGTTGCTTTCATGGACCGGGCTCTCCACAGATGCAGTTCCTTACCCTTCCTCCTTTATGGGTCTGTGGGGCTGACACAATATTTCATCAGGAGTGAAATCTGTTTGAGGGGTTATAGCAATAACGGGCTACAGTTATTGTTTGAAAACAATTTTAAAGAACATTCATCAGGCAAATTACACTCTTCCTAAGACATTGCAGACTACAACCTCAGGCTGAGTACTATTGTATTGTGTATTGTGTTTCCTAAGAATTAATGAATGACAGCTGGAAAGCCACAAATCACTCTGCACTAGTTCAGGCATTGCTTCGGTGGGAGATCTCCTAGGAGCAGAAAGAGGTGCTGGTGATTCAGTAAGTGATTTTTTATACAGATCACATTGTTCCGTGCAGGATTATACTACCCAGAATATTTTCTTTTGTTTGGGGCTGATCCAAAGTCATCTAGAACTGACAGGCCATATCTGTATAAGAAATTAGCAGGGAAGTAGTCTTGTAATTTTAGTATTCAGTTTTATGTGTGTTGTTTTAGCAAAAGGATAGGTAGTGAAAGATGGGAGAGAGATTAGCCAACTTTTAAAGGATAAGTAATTTTTTAAGTTGTTGAAGTGAATAATATAGACAGAAGGCATTGGCTACAGAAAGTAAATTCACTTTCTTTTGTGAAAAGAATCTGGAAAAATGTGAGGAACATGAAGTGATGCTTCAAAACAAAACAGTAAACATTTAAAGTAGAAATATGACTGGTTCTTGGTTAAATGGTTTAATATAAAAATATCAGAGTATACGATTTGCCAAGGAGACAAATTCAGAAGATGGGAGGTGATGTGGCCATCTAGTTAGAGGCTGTGGTATTTTGAGTAAAATTACATATGTGGGTTAGCTAATGTGACAAACACAAAAGTGGCCAAAAGAAGTAGTAAAACATTTATAGGAAATTGTTAACAGACCTCCAAGGAAGGGTAAAAAGATGGGTCAGGAAACTTCTGTGCTGGAGAGGACCCAATAAGGTAGACCGTTGATCTGGGGAGATTTGAGTTACCTTCACACCTGAATCGCGTAGCATGTACAGAACAGGTAAGAAAGGGGAAGTTTTTTAATGGAAGTGATACAGAACTCTTTTCTTGCATAGCTTGTGTAGTTGCCAGAAGTAGCTTTGTCTGTTTTCATAGCATATATCCAAATGTGAGAAAGAATATGCTAAGAGACAAAGAGGAGTTTTGGCTGCCAGTGATACCTCAATGAATGAAACAACTGCATGGTAATCCCATATAAATTTATCAAATTCAAATGGCTATCATAATTCGTTAGCATAAACTGATCCTTACACTACTGGGATAAAATCCTAACTTAGAGAAAACAAGCATAAAACTCTAATGGCTTACAGGGAGCAAGGATTTTTTCCACCTTGTGTAATCATTTCCACTTTATTGGACACAATTAGATGAATGAGATTGATGATTTGCCATATGAAATTACTTTTTATTAGTGTTTTATTTTTCCAGAAAACAGGAATTTTGAAATAAAATCCACACTTTAGTACCAGAAACAGAATTTAGCAAGCCTCTAATTAAATTTTCAAGGTTCAAACTGCAACTTGTTCAAACTCCAAACTTGTGAATATAGGTTTTCATTACATAGTATGTCCACTTACAGAGAGATTAAAATATTTAATAATATTTCATTAATGTCTTTAAGAACCTTGAATTTTAAATATATATAGAATATATATATTTATATATATTCTATTTTATATTTATTTATATGTATTTTGTACATAAATAGAAATGGCTGGCTGCTGACCTCCTCCCTTCATCACTTAACAAAATAGATTCTAGCTGCCTCTTTGGTGCATGCTGAAGAGACGAACTTGCATATTTTTGTGGATCCAGTTTACTTACGTAGTAAGGACTAGGTTCACACAAAGGCACTCAATGCTGATATGTCTAAGTTTTAAGTGCCAGAACCATGAGAGGAATTTGAACGTAGATGCTGAAGTTTGTGGTTTATGAACACCACAATGCTTGTTGTGATGTTTTGCTGCCAGCCAGCGTAGAAACTGCAACAACAAGGATCATTGTGTTAGAGGAGTAGAGGACACAATGGCCAGCAGCCTGAAATGGTAGAGCCCAAGTTAAGCAACTGAAAAAAGACTGTTCAAAATTCCCTCCTCTATGATTCCTGTGAGCTTACATGGGAAGCTATAGGTGAGATTAATTTTCCACCCAAACCCAGCTCCTAGATACAAGTACCTAGCTTGCCTTTTTTTTTTCAGATACAGGATTTGCTGTTTGTGGCTGTTGAGCTTGCCTGCAGTGACAGGTTGTTAGAGGCCAGCTTTCTGCTACGATCTGTTGTCCAGGAGTTGTTTGCTGCCAAGGAGCCTCAGTGGGGTCTGCCCCTCCTTCATTTGGCAATGGCTTTAACCCTGAAGCTGTTGTGCTTGGACCCCACCGGAGCTGCTGTGCAGCAGCATTGCAGTTGCACTTGCTCCCAGCCTTGTACCTCCCTGATTGTCACCCTCGTCCTCACCGGCTGGCTTGGCTTACTGGCTTAGCCTCAGACCTGACTGACCTGCGGCTGGTCCTACTTACTGTCTCCAGTCCTGATCCTGACCTTGAATTGCTGACTTGGCCTCCTGGGTCTTTTCTGGTGAGGTTGCCACTGCTGCCTGCCTAGCTGTGGCTCTTGGCTCCTTGTTTGCCTTCCTTTGTGGAGAGTCTGTCCTTGCTACTGCTCAACACAGTCGAGTTTTTAGAGGAAGGACTGGCAACCCATATCTTGAGCTTTAAGGGTGGCTCTGAATGGCAGGTGGCGGAGTGGGTGCTGAGCTGGGAGACAGAGCAGCTGGGAGAGCTGGTGGGTCTTGTGGGCATTGGTCTTGGAGCTCAGCTGGGGGATTCATCTTGCAGAGAGGCACAATAATGCTAGTCAGTTCAATCCAGAAAGCATTTCCTGATGTCTGGCTGTACACAAAGCCCTAACAGTTCTGCACTGGGAACTCTGCTGGGTTCATAAAGAGTCCAGAAATCAGCCTGGGAAAT